TGACTGATATGATGAAACTGGGATTTTTGTTACACTTAATTGTTGCAAACACAACTAAAACTATAACTGAAACTAATCAAAACTAAACTGAAACTAAGGATTTTCAAAAAATAAAAACTAAACTAAACTAGCAAACAATTGGTAAAAACTAATTAAAACTGATATAAAATTGAAAATCTGAAGTCAAAACTAAATAAAAATAAAAACTAATGAAAATTGCAAAACTATTAAAACCCTGGTATGTAATCCCTTAAAATGATTTTTATTGTTAGTGTCCTTATTTTCCTCTGAGCCATCAATTCCGTCACCTGTTAGTTAACATAAACTAAGTCTATTAGCCGCACCAAACCAACCACGTGACGTAACGTTTCGTACTGACTGAAGATGGCGCTACACGTGTTCTCAAAACTTTAAGCACTTATTTCTTAAATCCAGCTTCACAGACAGAGTTACATCTATGTCCGTTTTTTGAGGGCAGGGCTCCGTGAGTTAAAGTAGCCTTTATATGTGTAGCATTTCATGTCCCCTTGAAGTAAAGGCCAGTCAAGGTTGAAGGTATTCATTTCAAGGCATTTCATCTAAATCAGGAAATCACTCATAATCTGACTTGGTAAGCAGATGTCCAAAAACACTGTACATGCCCGAAGAAGGTGTGGGGAAAATAAAGTTCTTGCATCACAGCAATGTTTGTTTGTTTTTTGTTTGTTTTTAACTGTGCATTATTTTAAGTCTTTCTTCATCTCCCAGTGATTTACTTCTAAAAACAAATTCACTAACTGCTCCTTGAAGACACTCGGGCAACTTGCCAAACTGCCACTAAAGCCCTAATCAGTCAATGCTCCATAATTTCACCTGTGAGAAGCACAATGACAACTTGTACTGCAAGGAAATATTTGTGTACAATGTGCTTATCAAACACTACTGAAGCCTAACTAACATTAATGCTTTAGTATCATTTTATACACACTATGCAGGCCAGCTATAGTTAACTGACTGTATGCTGGAGAAGTTTAATTTTTCTGGAACATTCCTTCCCATGTAAAGACTTTACTTGCGTGGGGTGACCAGCTAAATCAATAGTGGCCAACTGGCGACTGAGTTTAGCATAATTTAATTTTTTTTTCATATGAAGTCCAACTGAAGGCATCGAGTTCATTCATAAAATGAGAGACAGCTAAATATATAGTCCTGTTATACATTTGTCACCAAGTACTGGGAAAATACTTGTAAAATAATGTGCAGCCGATCCAATTCCCAAAATGTTCAAGCACTCTTTTGGAACAGTGTTAGTGGGATTATTGCAATACTGGAATTTGGAAAAAAAAAAAAATACACCACAACTCTGAGGACATGTTAGATTTAGATTTAAAAAAGACAAACCTGAGAAGGCCACAACGTGACATTGAAGTACACTTGCTTTAAGATTTCTAAAGGAGCATCCAAACAGAAAATGTTTGGCCTGCGAAGTATGCCTTGTAGCTGACGTTTGGTCACTAGCAGTCATTCCAGGTACTGGTCGTCAAGGTAACCCCTAAATATATTACTAATCTGTCATATGTCCATCAACGGTATCCTTTGTTATTCAGTCTGTTGCCTTAAAGTTGAGAATAGTTTAACACAGGACAAGCCACCTCATGTTGCCAGCAGTTATTTCACCAGCCATGGCTTTAAGTTACTGAATGTCACTGACACTGACTGTCTGTGGTCTGTGTAGTCACCTCCTGTATGTACACCTCTTTAAGATGGTGTATTGGTCTAGAAGCCCCTGAGACTGAAAAAATAAAAAAAGAAGAAGAAAAAAAAAGCCCAGTACTGTGTGTTAAGGACAACCATCAGATGCCATTCACAGCACGAATACAGTTCTCATGGTGGGTTTTCATTTGATTTACTGTGTTGGGCAAGCACAGGTGATACGACTGCAATGCCTGTTAATGCTAATGGTTTCCAACTATTCCACTGCTCTCCATGTGGTAACGACTAGAGGTGGGGGAAAAAATCGATACTGTGTAGTATCGTGATATTTTGTTTGCTAATAATGTATCGATACAGGGACAGCAGAAATCGATATTTTGTTACAAACAATTTTTT